TCCATGCCCCATACTCCCTACCCTATGCTCTGCTTCTTGTGCATACGTTAATACACAGGATTTATGTTATAAACACACAACACCTTGATTAATCCTTGATGAACATGCATTATTACTGCTATTAATTTTAATCGATACTTATAGTTAATAATTAGCATATTGAGTATTGATAAATAAATGCACATTGGCAATAGCTAACAAGCAAGCCAAGAGGAAAATGTTTATTGTCGTAAATTCAGGATGCATATGACTCTTTCATTTTCTAAAAGCAGCCTGACACGTACCTTTAGATTTTCACTATTGATTTCAGTTGGTTGTTTTTGCTTTTTCCTCTAAATATTGCAATAATCAAGTTAATGATTAAATTAAAGTAGTTTCCAATTAGCAATATTATCACATCAGATAGCATTTACCTGTAGCAATATTAGTAATTAGTAAATGTTTCAGCTAATAACAGCATTTCCATGATTATATACATGTAATTAAGTTATATGGTAAGGTAAATGTATAGTAAAGCACCTTTGATTATATCAATTTAGTAAAAATACGCAGGTGATTATAGAAAATCTTGCGTGCTGATTGGTCAAGAAACTCACACTATCACATGATAAGCACCTCGAAGGAAAATCCAAAATGGAGGCCAGTCACTTTGTTGTTGTTACCGAGAAAAAATGCCTTTTATCTTCTTTTTTTTCTTCTTTTTTTGAAAGAATTCCCTGTGTATTTATACTAAAACAATTATTTGCCTCAGGCTCAGTGATTATTGGGGAATATTTACCTCGCCGCTCGAAGACTCGCATCTCGGTAAATATTCCCCGATAATCACTTCACCTTTGGCGAATAATTGTTAAATATTAGAAAGGGCACTATATAAATCATTATTAATAATCATTATCAGTCATTTTGTACTCGATGAATGACCAGCTGACAGCTGTTGATTGACAATCGAGTGACCGCCGACTGATTATTGGTCAACGCTTCACCAACCCTTCACCACTCATTCAATCAACACCTTATGATTACCATAAGTCAAGGGCGGATCCAGGGGGGCAAAGGGAGGCTGAAGAGCCCCCCTTCAGCAGGAAAAAAACGATGCTTTTTTATATTGTTTTCCATTGTGTTGATGGAAGAAACTCAATTAGCCCCCCCCCCCCTAAAATTTTGGCTGGATCYGCCCTTGTAAGTTTCCATATTTCTACGTTTTAATGGATAAAATAGTTAGGTACTAATACAACCTTATCATGAAATGATGAATACCTGTATTTTACTTGCAGTCTTGTGTTTTTCAAGCTTTTTATTCTCTCTTGACTCAAATTCATTGATCTGAAGAAGGAAAAAATGAATTTTTGAGCACACTGTTTTAGTCTGATGATGATGGTGACTGTCAAAAGGTAAATAAATTGATTGTACAGTTAGTGTATGGCCTAATTTGATTATCTATTTCATTAAAAAAATGAAAAGTTCCTAATCTCACATCACGAGACCTTTTACCCAACGTCTCTAGACAAGAGACAGAATTGGCGACAAGCCAATTACCATACCTTGGTTCTCAGATCCTCTACCAGCAGTTGTAACTCACAAATCTCAGCTTGTAAATCATCCTTTTCTTTGTGTAGCTGCACTATCTCTTGTCCCAGAACTTTGCTGCCATCTCTTAGCTCTTGGTTTTCAACTTCAAGTTTCCTTAAAAGAAAAACAAAATTGCATTGGCGTGATTTTGGAAAGCTGTCGAGTTAGCAGAAATAGGAGATAGTACCTTTATAGACAATCTGTAAGAAGTGTTCCATCTCTATACCTTCCCCCCCTCCCCCAGCCCAAAACATGCACAAACACAAGAACAGAAACATTAATTAATAATGCTTAAGATAGGCCTCCCTGGTCCCAGAGGCTCCGYGATTTTTCTCCAGGTATATATTTTGCGGCTCAAAATATATGTGGCCGGGCAAAAAATCGTCGAGCCTCTGGGACAAGGGTAGCCTCGTAGAGGGAGGAAAACAGAGAATCCAGAGCCATGAAAACCCTCAAATCAAGGGAGGGATCAGACCAAACAAACTTTACTCACATGTGATGGCAAATCCAGAAATCAAACCAGGGACCCCAGAGGTGAGAGATGAGTGCGCTAAGTCAGCTTTGAGCCTCTCAATTCCCTTACACATACCTCATTTTAAGTTCTTGTTGTTTGAAATTAACATTGTTCATCCATTCCTGCATCCTGTGGGATTCCTGTTGTGGTAAGGATTTATCTTCATCAATCATTACCTTATGGCTAAAAAATGCCAAAATTTACATCTAGGCTTTTCAGAAATTATTTTTACCTTTATGTCGTCCAAACCAGATGAAAAGTGTATATCTGGTAAGGTTTCAGATCTTGCTAACTATGGGATGACAACAAAAAACAGTCATTAATTTAAGCATTCATGATTAATGGGGAAGGGGTGTGGGAGGGGTAGGGGAATTGGAGTGAGGGCCACTCATTTTTTCAGTCAAATTTTAGGGGGGCTATCAAAAAATGGGGGTCATTTTATAATTATGATTATCTGAAGATGACTTCTGCTCAGGTTGTCGAAACGACAGTCACCACCAACAACTCTTTCTCAAGACTACACTCACACGGACGATCACATTTCACACCAAACTTCAACACCTGGGTTCAAACCATTTACTCTTAATCATAACTATACTAAGTAGAATTAATATATTGATTATTAATTCTACTTATCTGAAGTGGGGCAGCATTAAGTCTTAAGGTCTATTTTATTACCTTTCTATCGGGAAAAACAAACTTGTATTCTTGATTCTCGTTTTCTACTTCTAATGGTGAATTAGTTTTAGTGCTACTTGAATCTGTTGCATGCTCTGGTTGGTCTTCTTCTTCCTCTTCAAACAAAGCACTCAAGACTCTCGTTTTAGTTACTCTATTCACTGAGCACTCTGGCAAAGGAGGGGGTGGAGCTGGCATATCTTCTTCATTTTCCATTTCTTTCCCATTTGAAATATCAGGAGATTTGCGAGATTCTACAAAAAAACAAAATTAACTGAATTTATACTTTGTATGCATGATTACTAGTGGTTACTAGTTGGGAGTCCTGCATGTGTTGGTGTGTTGTATACAAGTGAATAAGAAGAAAACTGAGTAAAAAATTACTGTTTTGTGTTATATATGTAGAAAATATGCATTGAGTTTCCTGTGGTACAGACATGTGCTGTAAGAAAGAGAATAAAGAGTTGAAGACCACGTGCAGTTTAGTTCAAGTTTCTAGTACTTTATTCCTAGATTAAGTACCTTTTCCCAGGGATAAAACATTTTGTTCATTACAGTAACGCTATCTTCATTGCTTGGCGCTGATCAAGACAACAGTTGCAACATATAATACATATAACATGGAAATCAAGCAACTTAATACGCTGCCGTCAATCAAATACACAGTTACCTTCTTAGGCCCTGTCCGTGCTTTTTTGCGGATACGGGTTGTGTGCACACGTGTCCGGAAATTTTTGTATCTGTATCCAGAAATTTTCRAAAACGGTCTCCAGAGTGGAAATTTTCAAATACGCTCCGAATACAAATACGTGTGGACAGTCGTATCCGCAAATTTTGGAATACGCTGACATAAACACGATTTTGCGCATACTCAATAAGAAAAACTATCCGTCAAAGGAACTAGGCACTAGTGTGCATCAGGGCGGATAAAGAAATTTCCGGATACGTGTGGACAGTGAAAACGATTCGAAAACCATTCGAATATGCTGCGTGTGGATGCGAACATTTTTGTATCCGCAGAAAAAAAAAAYTTGCAGATACAAAAATTTCCGGATACATGTGGACGGGGCCTTACAGTCCTATGTACCTTTATGTGAATTGAACTCTAACAATATATTTGATTGATAGAAGTATATATCATCCGATCTCCATGCTATGTCTGTTTGGATCAGTGCATGGGTAGTTGCAATGAAAACAGTGATAGTTAGTGATAGTTCATTCAAAATCCATTACTTTCTTCTGGATATTGCTCATGTTTTTCTGCAAGAGGATTTCCAACCATAGCAATATGGTACTCCTTGTATTCCAGGGTTTTCATATCTTCAACAAAGTTAGACCAGGATCTGGAAATGAAATTAACATAAGGTTTATTAACATTAACATCTGGAGTGAATAAATTTCTGACTGGTCTCTTTTGGGGGTGACCCTGGAAAGCAGATGAAAGGAAAGCTGTTTTCTCAGGCTAATTCTGGACTAAAAAAAAGACTTCACCAACCTTGTTATCTTGTCTTCAAATCATTCTTCCACTTTTGAATCATTCCTTTTCACTCTCCCAATCATTTATTTTCCGTTCCCATTTTACTATTCACCTTATCATACATTTGTTTAATTACTCACACTAGTCATCTATCTCCCAATTAATTAATACACTCATTTATTATTCTGTTAAATTTAATGGTTCATYTATTCTTATATGAATTACGCACCTAAATATTTTTTCATCATTGATTTTTACAATGGACCTCAAACCCAAGGCACCATTACCATGATTGAATGGGAGGCTAAGTGGAGAAATAGTCAACATGGCTTCTGCAATACTTACTTCCTTGATTGACTTTTCTTTTTTGCAGAAATAGCATCATTTTCGTCATCACTTAAGTCTGTCAATTCTGATAGTCGCTGTTTGAATTCAGTGTCACTGATGTGACTGAAATTACTCTCCATATCATCTTCACTAATGGAAATAATGAATGAATTATTAATATTAGGTAATAAGTTTATAGCTGCTATAGTAAATCAATATGCCGTGATTCTTTATTTTGTCTGTTTCGTATATTATTTTGTAGTTTATTATATCTTTATTTTGAGGTAAAGCTTTGTAAATAAATATAAAATAGGACCTTTTCTGAATCCAACAAAAATAAAGAAAATGAATCATAATGCCAGATGATGTGCGATGATGATGATATGTAATGATAATGATGATGATGTGATGATGATGTGATGATGATGATGCATGATGATGATGATATGCAATGATAATGATGATGATGATGATGCATGATGATGATGATATGCAATGATAATGATGATGATGTGATGATGATGATGCATGATGATGATGATATGTAATGATAATGATGTGATGATGATGATGCATGATGATGATGATATGCAATAATAATGATGATGTGATGTGATCATGCATGATGATGATGATATGTAATGATAATGATGTGATGATGATGATGGTGATATGTAACAATGATGATGATGATGCATGATGATGATGATGATATGTAATGATAATGACGATGATAATGATTATGATGATGCTACTTCACTAATGCAAATAATTAAAGAATTATTATAATTAGGTAATAAGTTTATAGTTGCTATAGCAAATCAATACAAAATATGATCTTTTCTGAATCTAACAAAAATAAAGAAAATGAATCATAATGCCAGATGATGATGATGCATGATGATGATGATATGTAATGATAATGACGTGATGATGATGATGCATGATGATGATGATGCATGATGATGATGATATGTAACAATAATGATGATGATGATGATGATGCATGACAATGATGATATGTAATGATAATGGTGATGATGTGATGATGATGATGCATGATGATGATGATATGTAATGATGATGATGATGATGCATGATGATGATGATATGTAATGATAATGATGATGATGTGATGATGATGCATGATGATGATGATATGTAATGATGATGATGATGATGTATGATGATGATGATATGTAATGATAATGATTATGATGTGATGATAATGATGCATGATAATGATGATATGTAATGATAATGATGATGTGATGATGGTGATAATTATTTACTGATATCTATTGCAGCTATAACTCACTATGTAGACCCCTGTTTAAGAAATTCACATCTTATTTTAGCACCAAGTTTTGCAAGTAAAACTTTCTTGGACTGAGGCTTGAATTCCATCTCAAGATCAAACCTTTATGGATACAAATGAACACAAGGCTCAGTGAGTAACATAATATTCATAGCTCAGACTCAGACCATAGTGAACTAATTGCCGTTATAGTAGTTTTCCTAATGAAATTAAAATCTTGTCCCACAAACAATTACACAGTATCTGTTTTGAAGAGTACTACCAGCTGAGGATTATGAGGCAATTTTATATTCTGTTCGCAGGAAAGTAATTAACTATTAAAACACTTATTATCAATTTTCTGCAATCAGATATTCTAGATAATTTGTTAAGCTTGTGGAGCATAGCAACAGTAACTAAGGGGAGTCAGAACAATGAATCCAAATTTCAAATTTCCTTTTTCATGTGGAATGAAATTTATAGTTAAGTAAAATTTATTCATTTAAAGCATTTCTTACTCAGTTGTAACTGGAGATGCAAAATCTGCTATGTCACAGGAGAATATAGCAAGCTTTTTTCTTTCTTCGTCTACCACCTTACAGCATAATAACAAAATAATATAACAATAGAAAAGAAAAAAAGAAAAAGAAATGATRAGAAAAAAACAAAATGAATAAATGAAATGAATAAATATGAATGAATAACGGAGGGGAAACAAGGAAATAATCTTAATGCAGGTAATGGCTTAAAAAATACAATTTATGTAATATATACAGTATGAGTGGCCATGTTGTATCCGATATACAAACTCGAGGAGTAGCCGAGCGTATGTATATCGGATACAACACGGACACGAATACCGTATATTACTTATCAAATGTCTAGGTTAGTTCCTTTGTGTTTCACTMAAATTTTCAAAATTAAAGTGAATCTGGCCAAGAAAATCCAACTCAAAGTTTATGCAAATGAACACAATTTTGTATCATATTTACAACACTTTTCACGGTCGTGATTTCTGTTGTTTCCCTCATGAATTTTTAATAAGTTTGATAAATACTGATACAATAGATAAGAGTGGTAGAACTTACATGAGATTCCAAGACAAAAAAGTATTCCTTCTTCTTGAATTTCCCAGCGCCATCCTACAACAGGAATAAAAAAGATTCATACCATAATACAAGTGAAAAAAAAACCCCTTCATTTTGGTTTAAAAAAACTACAAGCTTAGTAGTGAAAGTAATAGAAAATTTTGTTGGATTTTTCAGGGTATCAATAAAATTTAGAGGTAAATAAGAAGGCACTTCACATTATTATCTGTATTAATTACCTTGTAAAGGGTTACCACAAGATGAACAGAGTTCGAAGGAGTCCATGCAGCATTGTAAATGAAATTGCCAGTGTTTGGATCTGTATACTCARCTTTAACCTCTGGCTATACAGGAAAGACAGTTGAGAAATTACAATTTTATTTATTGAAATTATAGTGCAGATGATAAAACCATAAAAAATGCCGCATAGAGGCTATACACCATCACATGATGGCAGCCATGAAAGGAGGCAGGAACAAAAATTATTGATGGTTTTCAACCATTCCCAAGAATTAAATAACAAAAGATACGGCCGCCATGTTGGAGGATATAACAAAAGAATTCATTGACAATTTTTTTGTTAAGTTCCTCCAACATGGCCACCGTGAAAACCATCAATTGAATCTAGTCCAAACTGATTTACTATATATGAGAAAGAATTCAGTTTCCCAGGGGGAAAAGGATCTATTGATGTTCCTTCTGTTGTGGCCGCCATCATGGGATGGTGCAAAGCCTATATAGAAAAAAAAAAGAATTTTGCACTCTTAAAGAGTTTATTGGTAAAACTCAATCAATACAAAGCATTAGTTTACATTGAGGCCAAGAGACTTAAATTATATCTGTATAAAAAWTAATTTATAAAATACTGTTTAATCAATCAGAAAAGAGGGCTTAAAATAACAGCCGGCAGTTATAATAATATTGTTCAGGCGATATTAGTTTTAGCTTAGTCATACCACAGGTAGCCCAAGCTTGGTTTCTGTGGTGTCATGTGATAAGGGAATGTATGGGAATGGTTCTTCAAAAATTTAAAGAAAATCATTGAAACATGAAATAAAGCCTCAACATTTTACCTGATCATTGAGAAATAGCACTTCTTGGCTCTGTGTGGTTATTTTTTTGAATTTAACCCGTTTTAAGGATCTTTTCTCCCACCAGTAATGATCAGGTAAAATTTTGAGGCTTTATTTCACGTTTCAATGATTTTATTGAAATTTTTGAAGAATCCCCATACATTCCATTATAACATGACACCACAGAAACCAAGCTTGGGCTGCCTGTGGTCATACCTCATTTCTGACTAAAAGTTTCTGGTTAAAATGACCAGCAAGGCAAAGATTTGACTGGACAAGTCCCAGTTCCGGCCAGACATTGTCTGGCTATAAATATTAATGCTAAAAGCATAATTATCATAATTATTGGTAATAAAGATACTTSTTGTTGTTGTTGCTGTTGATGATGTCCAGCTGTTATTTTAAGCCCTGAGAGATACCATGTAAAATTTTGGGGGGAAACCTGTGAGCAGAGGTTATATTTTAATTTTCTCCCTCTGAAGGGCTGATCTGTCACCAGTCATGATGACAGAACAAATATTAGTTTTAGCTCAGTCATGCCTCATTTCTGGCTAAACGTAACTGTTCAAAATGATCAACAAGGCAAAGATTTGACAAGACAAGCCCCAGTTCTGGCTGGACATTATCCTATTAATATCTGGTCATTATTTTAAGCCCTGTAGATCACCTTGATTTTATCAAACGTCAGACAAGTATGAACCCCCTAATTAGAAGCTGGAAAATATTGTGTTTTTTTGTTTGGTTTGCTAGTGCAAAATCTTGACTTCCTCCTATAGCTAGGCTGGATATGAGCCCTTCCCTGACCTTAACCAAAACAAAATAAGAAATAATCTGGGGGTTTTGAGCCCCTCCCCCTCCAAACTATAAGCATATTCTTTTGTATACCTACCTTTTTCGATGTCTTTGATCTATGGCTTCTGAACCATAGAACAGTCAGATTACTTGGCTTTCTATATAAAGTATTCAAGTGGGATTATAATTAATATTGTAAAACAATGAATAACTACAATCAAAGCCAAAACAAAACAAAAATATAATAATAGCAGATTATAACTTATTCAATTACTACCCTACCCGGAAATATTAGTTTTATACCTTCAAAGAAGGAAAGGTTTTTACAAATATTAAAAGATGTCCGTCTTTCGAATTCAAACTAGTTCTTGTATTTTCCTACAGTGTTTTGGCTTGAACTTGCTCACTTGCTCACAAAAAGATATTCAAGGACTTCAAGCTTCAAACTACAGCACAGATAGCAAAGAATATAAAGAATAGATAGAGTAGAAATGCAAAGGAATACTTACAATTTGCTAGTACACTGTATATCCACGTATTCATAAGTCACTGTGAATCGAAATTTGAAGGCAAACTTCCCCTTGACTTGCTTTGCGATGCTCTTACGAACCCCTCGCAGGGCTCGCTGCGCCCCACTCATATTCACAGCATAGATATTCTACTGAAACTCGATTTGGTTAAGTCCTAGCGGTTATTCTGCGAACAAAACCAAAAAATATCATCCCAAATAAATTTTTACCTTCATGGCTTGAAAAGCGCGGCCGTAGTGACGACACGAAACAGGAAGCCCAAGACCTTTGGAACATCCCCGGATGTGTTTGGGAGTCCACTTGGAGTCAAGGAATGTGAAATGCTAGGGCGGCTGAGGGCGGCTAACCTTTAAGTCCTTTAACTTCCTTGATTTGGGAGTTTCGGAAAGTGAATGAATATTACTAAAGTATCTGAATTATGTGAGACTTGGTTGAAAAACGTTTAAGGTGACTGCCTACTTTTGGAAATTGATTTAAGCTTTTTCTAAAACTTCGATTTTCCGAATTGAAATTTAATGCTGATTCCAAATCTGGAAAGAAAAATAGGGTGTCCCGAGCTCGTTTTCGAGATAATCAGCATTTAATGGAAGCCTACGCACGAGCTTTTGGAGTAAAAGTTGCGCCACCGGAAGTGATTAGAAAAAA